AAAGGCTTCAGTACCTTGAGCAACTGGTGGATAGTCAGAAGAAAACTCTTTCAAAGATTGAAATTCCCGCCACAGCAAATCTGCATCGCAGCTCAGCATTCTCCTTCCCTCCGATCAAGGCCGATCGCAGACTGCTACCTTGGCGGAATTCATGCAAGCCCTTAGAGCTGGCTGCAAGTCTTCCACGTGGTGGGTCTGCCTCCCGCATGCCCGATGAGGGAATGGACCCCAGAGTCGAGGCTCAATTACCAGGCCTGACTGACGGCGCTGATGACGCATTGGAAGCGGAATAGCGATCAACGGGTCGATGCCCAACTCCCTGGTCTGAGTGAGACTGCTGACGATCTATCGGAACACCCCTGAAATTCCCGCATTGAATATGTCTTGACTGTATTCCCGCAAATACCGACGCCACGTATGAACGTTTGAAAGCCCTGAGACCTTCCGATCGTACCCGGTGGCCTCTGAGAATAGGGTGATTACGTTGGTATGATCGTCGATCCTTTGACGAAATTTTCTTTGTTCTTTGTTCCTGGGAGGGTAAGGTACGTAGATTTCGCTTGCAAAGTGGATACGATGATGATCTACGATGCCTTTCGCCGCTTAGTAAGGTCCTTTGAAGGTGTTTATCTTTTGTTACGTGCGAGCTTCCGACGATCGTTACCGTAGCACTTTACAAGAATTCTTCTTGCGTTTGGTGTTACTTCGCGAATATATATAGCTGCACTGACCTACGTTCTTTCCGTCGACTTGTAACTTGTATAACTTGTATGTATGTCAATCACAATCACATAACGTTCCACGCGTTCTCTTATCACCATCCTAGCCGATTCACACGACTTACCTTCACATTCGTCAAGCTCATCACCATGGAGAACATCGCTCTTCCTACCCGTCCCCCCTCCATGTTTTATGGCCCTCACGTCGCTCAATACAGTCCTTACCAGGACCCTACTTCCCCCGGCGTCTACCACTACGACGAGAACGGCAATGCGTACACGGTCGCAAGAGATCACCGCGTTGTTTGGGCGCCCGAACACAATGTCGAATTGTATCCAGAGATGTGCGCGTTCGACGAGCCACCTCCTCCCGGGATGCTACGAGGCATATTCCCGCCTCGCTCGCCCATCTTCGAGGCGAATAGGCTTAACAACCAGCCTTGTCTCGAGTGGAATTGGAAAGCGATCAATGAGACAGGCCTCGGACTACAATGGAACTGGAAGCTCGGCATGCATCGTCTCCTGCCCGGGTACACTCCGCAGGACCTCACGCGGGAATTATTCATGTCCCCCGACATCCCGTTCAAATATCCTTTGGTCGAAAGGTGTAACGACGGCTTTACTCAGTTCCGAGTGCACGTGAGTTTTAACAGCGGGAATTGCACCGAAGTCATATTGATCTGATCTATTCCGTTGTTGATTCCGTTGTCGGTAGGACATCATCATGATGGCTCATGATGACGCCAGGACCGAGATCCTTGCGACCGGCGGTATGGTCACGCTCGCCGCCCGCAATGAAGATCGCATGTACGAGATCTACGCGTTCGGCCAAGGACTGTTTCACTGCATGTCGATGCTACGCTTGTGCAAGGAGCACACTCCTCGAAGTTGGTTCCCGCTTTGTGCCGGTTTGTACCGGATCAACATCATATACAAACGATGGGAGAAACTTTGGCGGATGACCAGAGAACAGTCGGCGAAAAAACTTCCCGCCTTCTCGGCGGAGACTCTGGCGACGTTCCGAGAAGAATCGACTCGAGCGAACAAGATGTGTCGATGTCTACACAACGGTCTCATGGGCGAGTGCAGCTAGACCGGTGAGTATACGCTACGTATGTCTCCCAAATTTGTTTCCCGCCGATCAGAACCGTATTCATCTTTTGATATTCAGGTCCATCATAAAGGTATATTAATTTATACTATCATAATCAACATATGTCGTCGCGCCATTTTCCGCCTCTACGCCGTGCTCCTGGTCTATATACTCCAAGACCGATAGATATTTAGGGAGTTCAAATATAATTGTGATGGTTGTGCCGATGTTCAAGTGGCAATGATATATACGATTCGCCATTCGAAGCCACCACGCAATGATGATCCGTACGATGACTTACCCAAGGAGATAAAATACTGAGAAGCCATTGTTCCCGTCTCACATCAGATCGTGTGTCTTCTATTCCCGCCTCATAACCCGATGTCCACGATGTTCCCGCCGACAAGTCATCACTGAAATAGCGCTGTAAGCGCTGAGCCAAAGCTCGCCAAAAGCGAGGCTATCGTTCTGCTTCTGAACTGGCCGCTCTGTGATGTTTCGATAAATCGAAACATCACAGAGCGGCCAGTGCATCAGCAGAACGATAGCCTCGCTTTTGGCTCGCCCTTCATGAGCCGATTCAGAGGTTCGTACTTCCAATCAATGTCGTGTTTCAGATGGGGCGTGATGGATGCGCATTCACTGCCGCTATTACAGCGCTTTGTCAACGAGCATGTTGTGCGCTGCAATAGCGCAACGGTCGCGCCGAGTCCTTTTTTTTTTTGGGAGGATGGTGGCTTGCGATCCAGAGTTCGCTCCCCGCGCCATCCATTTCTTGCACGATTTTTGCGGCGGGAATCGTGCTGACCGGCGGGAAGTGTCAAATATCGCACGACAGGGATTATACATATTACGCTGAACATTTACATTTTGAAACGAAAAAGGACAGTGTGTACTACTCAAGCGCTCCGCTCAAACGTGGTCATGTCGTAGATCAGCAACAAGTCTGTCGAATGTTTCCTGCGAATAGGTCGGGGCGGTGGTCCCGAAGACCCGCTTCTGAGCTTTCATAGAGGTTCCCCGGACTGCCAGCTGTCCAAGAATTTCCTTCATGTGGGTCCGGTCTGGTTCCTGATAATCTTTAAGAGGACACAGACGCAGCTTCCCTTTGACATAGGCACTACCCAAGGCTTCGACCTAGTCGTCAATAACCATCAGTTCCTCAAAACCATCCCAACTCGGCCCAGCTGTCTCCACATACCTCGGCCCTGTGAGTCTTTCGTACTCCGTCCCACTGAAAGTCAAGCTTTACACCCTCCCACCAGAGCTCCTGCGCATAACACAGTAGATGCATAGTAGCCCATGGCACTTGCGACACCTGCTTATCCAGGGGCAAGTGTTGGTTCAGCATAGTCTTGATCTCCTCAGTGAGTCGATTTCTCTGCTCTGGCATCGACAGGCTAGTATGATGACGCTCAAGGGACGTTGAGCTTGAAGTTCCCGCAGAACCACTGGCCGAGATCTGCTCATCGTCTGAAAAGTAGGTGACGTGAATTTCTCGGTCATAAACAATAGTGGTACTGACGAACACACCACTCACACCTGCGAGCTCTAGCCTCTCGGATTGAAGCTTGAATCGTCCGTAACACCCCATAGCTGCGAGCTTGATCGCTTCCCACAACGCCCCAGCGCTTGGACAACACCGATTCCAAATAAGGGCTTTGAACCGTACATTGAGGAACAAGCGGATGGTCAGGATCAACCGGCATGATGATAAGACAGCTGGCGATGTCGTGAATTTCGTGCAGTCGACCAAGCTGTGATCATGGTAAAGACGATTCCCGCCGCTCTTAGCTGATAGTTGCCGGTTGGTGGACGATAGTGAAGGTATTTACCTGAATGCCAATAGCCTGAAATGCATCGAGGGCGCGCTTGGCTGCAAATCGTCGTGCGTCCGTAGTCCTTGGGGGAGGGGGTGGGTTTCTAGGTTGGCGGTGCGTGCGACGAGTCTCCAACTCTTGGCGAACCCGTTCGATATGCGCCTCAGGCCAATGATTTTGCTGCCTCCTTTTTTTGGCTTCGGTGATGGTCGCAGCGAATAATTCCCGCGCAGATTTCGTTGGGTTTGTGACCTCTTGAGAATTGGCATCGGAATGGAGTGCAGCAGAACTCTCTGGCGAATGGTTACGCGGTGTGAGCAAAGGTACCATGGAAAGGTAGGGACTATCTAACAAAGTTGGATAGCACTCACTAAGCTCTTCTCTAGTCAGATGTACGATTGCCTGCCAAGTAGTCAGTTGACGACTCTTCTTTTCTTTGTGAGTGACGTCGAGTACCGAATGGAGCAACGTCTGAGGTTTGACATTGAGCTTGGGAGCGTATTCAGCGCATTGAGCCCGGAGGGAATCCAGGATGTCTTGCACAGCCAGATTGTAGTTTAATCGTGACACGAATTTAGGGGGGGCGGTACGAACGTCCAGCTGTTCACCGTGTGTCGGTATGGGTGGGTCATCTTCAAGACGTTCGGCGATCTCGAGCTCTCGGTAAAAATCTTGATCGTCGTAGTCCATAGTGAAATGATGAAGTGAGGTATGAAATGGAGTGTATATGCTATATATTTGAACTTCGTAAGGAACAGACAGGATGGATCCGTGTTGTGTGTCCACGATATGTATTGGTAAGTGTGACAGATGTTGCACGTTGTAGAGCTGTAATAATGTTGTGCTCGTATGAAGAGTATACTAGCTGGTAGCTGAGTCATGAGTCACCAGAGTCCAGTCTACAGTAATAATACAGTAGATGAACGGCGAGAAATAGTCCGTGTGAGTGTGCGGGAAAGGTAAAGCCAGCGGGAATCGAGGAGCGACTAGCGTTGCCTTAAAAAACAGCAGCTCTCTCTCACGCGCAAGTGGCCAACAAAGACTTGAAAGGAGCTAAGGAGGTGACATTCAAAACAAAAGAAAGTATAGCCGTAACAACGAAACACAGTGCACAAGACATCTAGTACAACAAGGAGTAATCTTAGCAAGCCGTAACTGATCAGCGAAACTGCAGTGCATACCAGAAAGAAGAACAAAGAAGGACAGTCGGTCTTAACTCAGCTTGGAGTGTATATAAGAACGCTGACTGAACGTTGGCGCTGGTGTTTCGTACCACCGACCTTCTTCTTTCCCGCATCCCATTTTCTCATCGTTCTATAGCATATCTGCAACATCTGCTCTCGCCTCTATCAAATATCACATACTACGATGTCGGACGAAGCTTCTAATGCGCAAGGGGATAAGCCAGCCGCTCTTGGTGCCGGAAGACCTCGCACGTTGACCAAAAAGCAAAAGAAGAAGCTTGCCGGAGAGAAACTGAACGAAGGTAACAGGAAGCGGAAGCTTGAAGCTGAGGAACGGGAAAGACTGGTGAGTTCAGTAGTCTGAATGTGCTTGGTGTCTGATATACCCTAATTGAGTGATGGGAACAATGGGATATAGGCCAAAAGAGCCAGGTCTGGTTCGGAAGAGGAGGTCAATCGACCACGTAAAGAGACATCGACTTTGAGTCCGTTGCCTGTAAGTACCTCCCCAAGGTCGATCAAGATTGCGGGAAAGAGCTGGACTGACCACTACTTCTTTCACCGTTGTGTTGCAAGCTTCAAAATCCTCTAGTCCAAAACCGGGTACCTCTCCCTGCAAATGCTCCTCCCCCTTCTGCCAATGTTGCGTCTTCGCCTGTCCATGGATTCATGGACGAACTGATATCGACCTGCGTGTACGTCAGCGGGAATTATCAGAAGAGAGACGCCAAGTTCGGGAAGAAGAAGAGCTGGCGGAAGAGCTGGCAAGGATTGTGGAGCAACGAGAGTTATCCGCGATGGTGGAAGAGGGCCGGTTGGACAGAGAATTTTCGGAGGAGGAGGCAATGCGATGTGAGCAAGAGATTAGAAGGCAGGAGGAGGAGGAGAGAGGAGAAGGAGGAGAAGGAGAAGGAGGAGAAGAAGGAGAAGGAGGAGAGGAGAAGAAGGAGAAGGAGGAGGAGGAGAAGAAGGAGAAGGAGGACGAGGAGAAGAAGGAGAAGGAGAGGAGAGAAGAAGGAGAAGGAGGACGAGGAGAAGGAGAAGAGGACGAGGAAAAACGAAATTGGGAGAGACTCTGAGACAGGCGATGCTCGACAAAGATCGCATGGACCGGGAGGCTGCGTCTCGAGCGAAGAATGTGGAGGATAACGACAACGACAAGTCGAATCGCCAGTCAGCGCAGAAAGACGGGGACGAGGACAATGGTGCAGAGAAGCAAAAAGAAGGCGAAGAAGAGCAACGGGGTGAAGCGGAGGAGAAGATGAATAAAGAGGCGGGAATTGGGTACAAGAGAGTAAGTGATTTAGTCATACAGCAGATGTTTCGAGCGGGAATGATCAAAAGCTGACTATGAATTTGTGGTAACAGCGATTTGATCTCCTGGATTCGGAAACAGGTCCTTTCCCCTCGGTATCTTGGCCTGTCCCGAATATCAAGCTGGAACGACCGCAACAAGTCCGCAACTCCCTAAAGCAGTTCCGATCGACAAGGAAGCTTTGAAGGATACATTCTCGAAGTTTGCTGAATGGGAACAACGGTCACAAGGGACCGGTCCAAAACAAAATTCCCGCAAGAGGGGATTAGACATCGTTACAGATGTGGCCGAAGACGTCTGGGATGGTGCCAGAAAACGGCGAGGCAGAACTCCGAGAGATTTTGGGGACATGGACAAGGGGGATGATGACGGGCCGCGGAAGAAGCAAAAGACTGGTGAAGCGGCCTCTCTCAAACCTTCTCGCCATGAGAAAAAGGACTTCCTCGGCCAAGTCATTTACGGGATCGGACGGAACTTGCGGAGTCCGATTTATCGTGCGGGTTCCCGCTGGCAAGAACCGTTTCCAACCGGACGGTTCAAAAATCCAGATGGACTGGTACGAGCTTTGGACATCGCGATGAAGGGTGTCCGGCGCAACCCGGCTCACAGTGTGGAGTCATGGAAAGAGCACGTTGAAAGGGAAGTTCAACTTCTTGGGGAAGGCTGGAACGCGTCCGAGTGGACGAAGGTCATGGAAATCGGGACCGACGATGGGAAGACACAGCCGGAACGCTTGTGCGCTTTCTTTGAGTTTGCTTGGGACTCTGGAGCTTACGGGAAAGCTTTCAACGAGTGTCATTCTCCTGCACGAGCACAAGCATACGGTATACTGGCTCAAGCAGTCGAGGCTCGCGAGGAAAGGTGGCAGGGGATATCGAAGCGGGAAATCATCCGCAAGATAAATTCTCTGGGAAAAGATGGATACAATGTCCTGACAAAAGAGCTTGAGAGGAGATGGGACGAGATCATCGACATGAGGAGCGAGCAGCGGATGCGTCACGCGTTGTTGGGAGATACCTTCAGAGATTTCAGAGCTGTCTCTGAGATCGATGGCCGGCCGCATGAATGCGACACTCCCGACAAGAAGCAGCTGTGGGACGTCGGTCGGAGGTATCTGACGAAGGCGACTGCAATGCGGGAAGCACTTGGAAACGTGGTACGAGGTTGCGGATGGCAAGATGGGGTGTATGGGGCGGGAATGGATGAAAGGTGCCACTCCTGCTTTCATTGCTGTGGTCGGGGGGATATTCGAGGTCTTCGCCAATCGTCCGGATTTCAAGTCGACCAGTTCCTTGGCCGGCGAGATACATTACCTCCGACGACTGTGGGTGAAGGACGGTTCTACGAGAGCGAGTGGGTTCCCATCCTGGATATGCTGCGACGCACCGATGGTGTTTTGCTACAAGCAACCTGGGCGCCTTTGCAAAAAGTTGTTTCACTCCCGGAGGCTCGACATCGTTGGGCTGATATCAGCAGCCGCGCGCGTGAGCTCTGGCGGGAACACGGCACACAGTCGGTATGCCAATTGCGATCGACCTGAGCCTTGCGGAGCTCGAAATGCGGGAGCACGATCTGCACTCCAAGCATTGGGTAAAAGGCCAATGATTGCAGGGAGCCGGTGGACCCTACGCGCCCAGGTGGAAGACACGATCGGGCTATTCCCGCATACGGAGACTTGGGCGGTTACTTTGCCGACGTCCACAATCTCAAGCTCGGAAGGATGGACGGTGTCTCGTTCCGAGAACGTTGGGAGTTGCGGGAAAATGTGTGGAGCAAGGTGTTGGGACGGCTTGCTCCT